GATCTGAGAAAACCCGCTCGTAGCTCGAGGGATGATGGCGAGGGAGCAGATGCCAAAGAAGGATTGGTATGGCGTCCTGGGGGCGGACCCGTCTGCCGATGTGTCAGACTTAAAACAGAAGTATCAGAAACTCCTATTAATGTATCACCCTGACAAGCAGAGCACAGCCACACCGGCAGAGACGCTGGAGGAGCATCGACAGAAGTTCATTGAGGTGGGCCAGGCCTGGAAGGTTCTGGGGAATGAAGAGTTGAGGAAGGAGTACGACCTGCAGCGGCACGAAGATGAGCTCAGAAGTGTGGGACCAGTACATGCACACGTGTATCTGGAAGAAATGTCTTGGAACGAAGATGACTCTGGCAGCAAAGGAGGCGCCGTGAGAGGCCGAGGGCCGCGCCGTGCCGTTCTCTGCGTGCGTGCGTGCGTGCGTGCGCGCGCCAGGACCCGGGGAGCCGCTGGAGCCGTCGCCCGATGAGCGTTCTTTCTCTCTGAGCTGCCGGTGTGGTGGCACATACAGCATTTGTGAGCAGGAGGTGGCAGCCACGGGCCTGGTTCCCTGTGACACGTGCTCGCTGATGGTGGAGCTCCTTCACAACAGCTGAGCTGGGCCACGGTGGAGGTTGTGTGGAGCCCGGCCCTGTCCTCCAGGAGAGGCCAAGCAGGCTTCCAGAGTCCTCCAGGGCCACCGCAGAGTAATAGGAATGAGCTGCTTCACTTAGAACTGGTATTTATAGACTGCAAAAGGAAAAACTTCAATTACAATTTGCATTTTATGGATTGGTGTCTGAAAACTTTTGTTTGCTCCTTGGAAAACAAGAATTTTCTTTTTGAAATGAGGCTGTTTCCTGTTGTGTTCACTGTGGTGCTGTGGATTCCTTCACAGAGACTTGGGTTCTGATCTGAGAGACTTACCAGCTGCAGGAGGGTGGCCCGGCGGAGGCGACCTGCGCATTCGGGTAGAGAAGGGGAGGCAGCAGCCGGGGAAGCGCCCTGCATCTCCAAGTGCAGTGTGAAGAGTGGAAGCTCAATCTCAAGTAGCTGCTTCCCTTTCTTATTCCAGAACCTTGAGATTGGCCTCTCCCTCCCTGTGTTAGGAATCACCTCTGGGCTGATGGCACAGACGGTAATCACGTGGCGCCGGGGACTACCCTGCCCTGGCAGTGTTTCCTTACTTCTGTGTACAGTGCTGCCTCCCTTGTTGAATGACTCCAGAGCCCAAACTCCACCATTTGAACAGAAAGATTTGCCAAAAAGTCTGCTTGGTGTTCAGAACTTTGCCTGTTAAGTTGAAAATTTGGCTTGAAAAGACTTGTATGAGGGACCAGGAATATAGCTCAACACCATGAGCACCTGCCTGGCAAGCGCAAGGTCCTGAGTGTGATTCCGTTCTGTAAAAATGAAACAAGCAAAACCCCACTTGCGTGAGCCAAGAGTGTGTCACGCATTGTGTTTTGCCAGGATCAGACAGAGCTTCAAGGCAGCTCCCTCTGCCAGAAGCATGCAGTACTTGTGTTAGTGTGCTAGCATATACCACTGTGCTTTTCTGAGGGGCTTTATTTGCATAAAGTACCATAACCATGGTCTAGAAAATAGTGATAGTAAAGTCAAGAAGACTGAAAAACACAATAGAGTTGAAGAATCATTGTGAAATTTGAATCGGGTGGTGCTTTTCTGATGGGGCACTTGAATGGCTAAGTCACATTATTGACACTTTTGAAAAGAATGTGATTAAAGCAGCTAATGTAGCAAAAAAAAAATAAAATAAACTAGTACTGTATTATCAAGTTGTAAATCAGAGGGAGGTGGGGTAGGAGATATTGCTGAGAGGAAAACACATTCCTAATCATCCTTCACTTTGAATAAACATAATCTTTTCAATTCAGCAAGTCTCTGGCTTACCAACATCTGAGTTGTAAACTCTCTCAGATACAAATAGACTTTGTACTATGAACATTTGTAGATGTGAACAAATCATAGAAGTAGCTCATATGCCTGCCGGACATTGTCACAGTTGTGCTGCTGTGTGCTCACTATATAGTGCAATAGTGTACAGTAGTACAGTGCTTACTGCATTTGTGTGTGTTTGATTTTTTTATGATTTACATTGTATATTTGTGTCAACCGTATACAAAGCTCACTTTAGAGTTGACCAGATAGCTCAGCAGACTAATGAACCTGCTTAGGCAGGCACAGGGACCAGGGTTTGATCCCCCCTATCCTGTGTGCTGTACCAGCCCCAACCCCAGGAATCTCAGAGACAAGATTGAGACTGGGCATGGTGGCACACATCTGTAATCCCAGCTCTTGGAAGGCTGAAAACAGAAGGATCACTATGAGTCTGATCAGTGTAATGAGACCCTGTAGACACTGTACTAAATAGATTTTTTTTTAAAGTGCACTTTGTTGGACTTACAAGCATTCTCCCAGAATGGAACTTGTTCATAAGTCACCTAGGTACATTTTATTTTAAGATCCTTTAAGAAGAAAGAAAGAAAGAAAGAAAGAAAGAAAGAAAGAAAGACAAGCAAGCAAACAAGCAACAAGCAAGCACAAGCCCAGGCCTGGCGAGCCTGTGGGAAAGCTTCCCTGCTCCCCTGTGCCCGTGGGACCTTTCCAGATCCAGTCCAGGCCTGCCACATGAGTGAGACTTTCCACTGTGCTCTCAGAACCCCTCCACCCCTCCAGAGCCAGCCCAAGTCCAGGCCCAGCAAGTGTGTGGGAGAGCTTCCTTGCTCCCCTGCACCGGCTGGTAATTTCCAGATCCAGCCCAGGCCTACATAGAGGCCTGGAGTGAAACTCTGCAGCTGAAGTCCCTACACAGAGAGTAGGGGCTAGATCCAACCAGTTAATCCAGAAGCAAAACATTTTGCTAAAGGAGCATAAGAGGATCACTTACAAGGGCTACAGCAGGAAGGAGCTGAGCAGAGTAACCAGATCCAAGTGAGGCACAAGTGGATGAATTCACACTTCATAGATCTGTACCCAAATATCAGTAAGTGCTAAGGTTAAAACTGCACCAAAGCTCTACACCAAAGGTCACAGGACAGTGCTATACAAAATGACAAAGAGAAGGAGCAAAATGCTATCTCAGACCCCAAGCCCACCCAAAACAAGTGCAGAAGACACTAGCACAGAAGAAATTGGGAATCACACAGCTGAAATGTCTGAATCAATAGCATGTGAAGTAAAGAAACAACAGCAGAATGGTATACAGGAACTCAGATCAGAAATAAACTCTGAAATAAAAAAAATCTCTGAATTAATAGCATGTGAAGTAAAGAATCAAATTCAGAAATACATGGAGGAAATCAGATCAGAAATAATCTCTGTAGTAGAAGAATTCATAACTGCTTCTAAAGAAAACTGATAAAAAAATAGATGAGATTAGAAAAACAATGGATTCCTTGAATGAGCAATACAGGAAAGAACTTAGAGTCTCTATTACAAGCTTGCAAAACCGTTTAAGTAAAAATGAAGATCGAGTTTCAGATCTTGAAGATGCTGTTGCCACTAGTGAAAAGGTATGAAAAGATTTGTTAAAAACAACTAGGGTGCAGGAAAAAATAATAAATAACCCACAAGATGATGCAAAGATGAACAATATGAGACGAATAGGCATCAATTAGAAAGAAGGAGTCAATACAAATGACATAAAAAAATATGGGCAGAAGTAATAGCAGAAAACTTCCCAAACATGAGGAAGCAATCTGACATTCAGTAACCGAAGCATACAAAACTCCAAATAACTTCAATACAATTAAAAACACACTGAGACATATAACAGACAAAATCCCAGCAATCCAGCACAAGAACAATATACTGAAAGCCATTAGAGAAAAGAAACTGATCACATTTAAAGGAAAATCCATCAGAATAATGGCAGCTTTCTCTTCACAAACCATGAAGGCAAGAAGAGCGTGGAGCACAGTACTTCAAGTCATCTATGAAAACAAACTGCAGCCCAGACTAGCATATCCTTCAAAATTCTCTTTCAAGTTTGATGGAGAAGTGAAATACTTCCATGACAAAGAACAACTAAAGAATTTCATGATGACAAAGCTAACCCTGCACAGACTACTGAAAGATGTTCTAGAGAGTGGTCAAAATGATCAGAACTCCATGAACAAGAACAGAAGAAATCCACTAAATAAGGCAAACAATTAAATACAGAAAAAAAAGGAGTAAACATCAGCAGGTAAATAATATGTTAGTCCACCAGTTTAGTTTAGATTTGCTGTCATGTGCAACTGAATATCATTCTTTCAGAAATATTACAACTCATTCATTATAGTCTTTTTCGCATTCAAATACTCATTTTTTATTTTATTTTATTTTAATTAATTAATTAATTTATTTATTTATTTTTGGTGGAACCGGGTATTGAACTCAGGCCCTTGAGCTTGCCAGGGAAGCGCTTATTCCACTGAGCCATCTCCCCAGCCCCAATAATATGTCAATTGTAAGTCAATGCATCTCAATTCTAACCATCAATGTAAATGGACTCATTTCACCAATTAAAAGAAATAGACTGCAACAGTGGATTCAGAAACAAGATCCAACAATGTGCTGTATACAAGAAACACACTTAACTCATAAACTCATAGGCTGAAAGTCAAAGGATGGAAAACAATACTGCACATCCTAGTATCTCAGAAAAAAGCAGGGGTAGCAATCCTTTTCTCAGACAGCCTCAACTTCAAACCAAGAATGATCAAACAAAGTAAAGAATGCCACTATATTCTGGTTTGTGGAAAAATTCAAGAGGAAGAGGTAACACTCATAAATATTTACACACCAAACATGGGAGCACCCAAATATATGAGACAATTCTTAGTGGACATAAAAAATTTAATATCCAATACCACAGTCTTAACAGGAGACCTTAACACTCCCTTCTCTCAGACATAGCAACCAGACAAAAAATTAGCAAAGAAATAGCATAACAGAGCCAGAGCTTGGAACAAATGGACTTAGTGGACATATACAGAGTGTTTCACCCAACCACAGCTGAATACACGTTTTTTTTCATCTACGCATGGGTCATTTTCTAAAATAGAATGTTGCACATTCTAGTCCATAGCTGATGCTGAAGTACATGCAAAAAAATATCCAATGCACATTAACTGACAACAGTGCAATGAAGCTGGAAATAAATGACAAATGAACCAGAAAAAAAAAACATAAATAAATGGAAATTACACAACACACTATTCAGCAACCAATGGGTCACAAATGAAATTAAACAAGAAATTCAACAATATCTACAATTCAATGAAAATTCAAGCACAACTTATTGGAATTTTATGG